AGGTAAAAACTAATCTTCGAGCTGGTGGTGGTTCTTCCGAGGATCAAGATTGAGGGAGTATTGTGAGGAGAATGGAAGCCGAACTAACACTTTGTAACACTTGATTGCTGAGCAAACGTTGTTCCCCAGCAGAGAGGGGGGGCTATGCTAAAATACCACCGCACAGCCGCTCATATGCTCGAGGAACATCAGTTGCCCAAGCAGCAAATGTTGGTACAAATTCAGCGAGGACAGTCCTGTGAGATTAGTAGCCTCACGAGTAGGTACAGGACGCAGACGTTCAGTCCGACGCTCGATTCCTGGGCGGAACCCCACGATTGGCTGTCGTGAATAAGGCATCCGCTCCGCATTTACAAAGAGCAGCAATCGAGTACGCGATGCTCTGGTGAGCGTGGGTGCTCGCAGTATGCAAAGTTCTGAGTTTAAAGTGGACACACGTTTGTGAGGTAGATAATGTGGAGCCCAAGAAATTAATCAGTCTTCCTGTTTGACAAGTTTCGTCCGATTCCCATTGTTATATTCCGCGACACACGACGGAAGCACGAAAGCATTTGCTGCGGAATGGCGGCCCAGAAGTGGAAAATGTAGCAGACGAAGCTGTAACATAGGACTAGTTTGTTCATACATTTATCGGTATAATAGGCATTTCCTGGAGACTTGATAATGAAAGGGACAGTTTTAATTATACTGATGGACAGCGAAAGTGAATACCTACTAATTAACAAGGGATGAGCGAGGTTTTTTTTAACTGAATGTATTCCAGGGTTCCAAGTAAATTAAGAATATGTCTCGATTGCGTCTTAGAAGTTTATTCCTTCAAAAAACCTCAATAAATTGCATTTCCGTTTCGCTGAGAACTACGTAGACCTTTAAATTTTTAAACAACAAAAAGTTAAAACACACAAGAAAATGGAAAAGCATTGTGAAGACGAAGGTGTTAGGAGGAATTCTTTGAACATCTACTTGAGGAACGGACCGCAGGAGTCACAGTTTGACTGATCTGCCTTTTCGAACGCAGATAGCACCTCGTTACCAAATGTTTATACCTTATTACTCTAAAATCGTAAGCGAAATACCAGAGGAGTGCTAAATCACAGGGCCGGAAATGAGGACTGGCAACTCTTTAAGGAAAGGTGATTCCATACTAACAGAACAGAAACTAGTCAAAAGCCCATGCACGCATGTTTCGCCGATATTCTGCCGCTGCAGGACACAGCTGTGAGGGGTTCGGCTCGTCAGTAGGTCACCCAGCACATTGTGTCTGCTTCTGGCTAGTACCTGTGCTGTAAGTATGGTATCACCATAAACTAAAGTATGCTAATAGCTGCCTGCCGGCAGTAAATGAATATTACGCTCGCTCCCACGGTCACAATCACGATTGAAATAATAGACTACAGCTCAGAATAATTACGACAATAACGGCTTTCCATCAAATATACTCTTTACGATATTCCCCGTTACTTTTGCATCTTTCCCTATCATCCATTTAATCGGAGTCCTCTATCAATTCTACATTTTTTTCTTCATACAGGTAGGGTTATTAGTCATGCCGGATATTTCACAAAGTTGAAAATATGTTAAGAGCTTTCCAATCTATTATATTTGAACAGCCCATCAACCGGCTGAATTAACTGTCATAGTCCAGAGCCACTACAATAGGAAGTCGAAAGCATGGTATTCAGGTTAAATCAAGCCAATTATTCAACAGAATACCTTGTAGCAGTGTAATTGTAATTTCAAAATAAAATACCAAACATTTAAGTGTGATGGTGCTTAAAATATATTCTTACAGCGCAACGAGAATCTCCAACGCGCATCCAAAAATCGAGCTATTAAATATTTGAAGTACGAAGAGTTCAAAATTCACAGGTATATTCCATATTTGACCTAGAACACGACTGCAGTAAAGGAGTCCGCTTAACTTGCATGTAAACGCTCAAGTGGCTGACGAGCCTGACAGCGTGGTTAGTTTGCAGTTAAAGCAAATTATAGCAGGGATTTCTGATCTATTTTGGGATGACTTATCAATAGATTGCGCAGCCAAGACTACTAGTCTCCTTCGGAGGTAAACATGCCAGTTCACACAGTATGCGCTTTGCTGCTTGACGAAAGCGGTTATCACCCCAGAATCACGCCATCATCTGGAAATATTTTCTTTAATCCTGCCTTTGGCAGGGGTGCAAAAAGTGGATCCGTAGCAAGTGAAAAAGGAAAATGCCCGTTTAAATTAGACGCTATTGAGAGTGATTTTATCCTTCTCGAGCTTCATCTTTTGGTACCTGTAAGGTAAACGAAGGCCATCGTAACGAAAGCTGTTGTCCTAAGTGCCTTACTAGCCACAAGTGTTAAAATAAGTCCTGTCTTGAGTATGGAACGAGCGTACCATTGCATAGCATACAGATTCTACCGCCTACCCTCATTTGGAAGTTTCTTTCAAGGAATGAGGGTACGTAATTGAAGCAAGTTGGACTGCCTTTTTCGGGCTAGAGCTTGAGTAATGGTCGGTTGATAATAACAGCTAAAACTGAGATGAGTATTACAATATCCCTCTAAAAACAAGTCGCAGGATGATGTTCAAGATTGCAGTTAAAATGATGAGACATCGTATCCATTCTATTTAATTTCTCTTAAGCAAATAAACTACACGACTTGAAATTGCAGATCAACCTCATCAGACGTGTGTGGTATCGGGATTCTAGCAATTAAGGGTTCCTCCCGACGATTTTGAGTGACCACTACTTGCGCACACTACACCTGGGTGATGTGGTAAGGAAAGTGTACTTCTAAGCAGTCACGATAACCAGCAGCGTTGATTGATTATACCAAATTCTGCATAATTGCTAATGGCTTTGAGACTGCACGCACGATCTGTGGACTAAGCCTTAGGAGGAACGGCACGAGTAGGTTCCGTGATGTGATCGACGATTGACCTTTTCGTGATAGCTTAAATGCATAATCGCAACTGAGAGAACAACGGATACGTGACCCAGTAGTAGTGCGTTGGCCTTCATTCATACAGGTTCGCGTCCCAGGTTATTCAGAGATGGAGTCTCCTTCGTCATCAGGGTCCACTGCAGATATTTTGTTCTACCATCTGCTGTACATATGCATTTTATGTCACCCTCATCATCTCCCGAAGAATGCGAAAAAGATGAGAGGGCGAATTCATGGAGCAAATTGTATTTCTGTTGAAGATTCGAAGACTTCCTCGTTTTCATCATCAGAGTTGTTATCTTATGTGTTATATACATATATGTGTCATACGAATGTATGCTGCAGTGTGTATACGTCATATATTTGTGCGTACATGCTGCACATTACCAAGAAAAGACCTCACTTACATTAAGGAAGATAAGATTTAATGGTATATTATTGATTTTGTGTGATTTCTTCCATTTTCCCCTTCATTCTTGTTCTGTATCTGACGTACAACACGACTCCAGTACTGGCGTCCGCTATTTTGCATGCAAACGCTCATGTGACCGATACACCTGACAGAATGGTTAATTTGAAATTATAGCAGGGATTTCTGATCTATTTTGGGATGACTTATCAATAGATTGCGCAGCCAAGCCTACTAGTCTCCTTCTAAGGTAAACACAGTGCACTGTACCGCTTGACGAAAGCGGTACCACCCACGAATCACGTCATCGTGTTAGCATTTTTTCGAAGCTGTTGTTGATCCTGCTTGTGTGGGGGTGGGTCAAAAGAGGAAAGTTCCAAAGCCTTTATTCATACAGGTTCGCGTCCCAGGTTATTAAGAGATGGAATTAATTTTGCCTGACGGACTGCCGTCTGACATTCTGAGTGTCCCCGTCTACTTCCTGTACTCCTTCTACCTACATGTCTGTATGATATGGTACCGCCCGAGAACAGCGGTTTATTCCTGCGAGGTTCCGATTTCTCACGCGACCCCATTGACGAGGAATAAAGAAACTGCACAACCCAGTGTCTATTTAAGTCACCTTCTCCGAGAACGCCCCCCAGGTACGCGCGACGTCTGACGAACAGCCGACAGACCAATATACCACTTGATCGAATCCACAGCCAATTACCCTGCTTTCTACTGCTGGCACCAAATTCGGTCGTCACGCCGGCTCGTCCAGTGTGAAAGTCTCAATTTCTCATCTTACTTGAAAATTCACGAGTACAACTAGATTCTCAAAAGAGGCTTACCTTTTCTCTTTATTTCCTCTCGGGATGCACTCTGCGTCAGTTATTCAGTATAAATGCCCACATGGATACGAAATCACCTATCCCTGGTAACAGTGCACACACTGGACACTGGACACAAATTCACTAGGCTGAACACTCGCATTGTGAGCGCCTGCCCTATAAGGAGAGGCCGTTAATTTCTGGAAGCAATGTATTCAGATGAGACAGACATCAGTCGGCATATCGATCTGGATGCCACGCACAAATTTGTCAGGGACAAATGGAAACGAGCGCAGCCAATGCTGAGGGGATGACGAAAGACCATTGACGCATATTGGCGGAGGCTTCGGACAAGCATAGCATCACTTGTTCGGCACGGATAAATAGTCAACTGTTATTGTACATAACCCAGAATCCTGACGACGAGCTGGGGAACCAGTCTCGAGAGTTTACGTATTACAAGTCATCCTTTTCCCAAAGAATCTTACTTATCTTCAATTAGATTTCTTGGGATGACCGTTTTTCCGTACTATATATTTATAACAGCGAGGAGGGACGACAGAATGGACAAGACCGAGTACACGGCGAAACTGGAAGGTCTGTTGGAGGAAGAAGTTGCCTATAAGCTTTCGGAGACTGGAGAGTTCAAGATGCACGTGAACAGTGTAAACAAGGCGAGAGACAAGTTAAGGAAGGCGGGAGCCCTCAAGAGGCAGGAAGCACTGGCCGCAAAAGCCACCGATGCCGCCATGGCGCGCTTCTATGGTCTGCCAAAAGTGCATAAACCGGGAGTACCTCTACGCCCCATTGTCTAATAACGCGGAACCCCGACCTTTGGACTGTCGAAATGGCTTTACAAACGATTCCGTTTCCTGACCGGGGAATCCGAATGGACGGTGAAATCGGCTGAGCAGTTTTTGAGGAGTATCAGACATCTAGAAATAGAGCCAGACGAGATGATGGTATCGTTTGATTTGGTCTCCTTATTCACCTCCATTCCAACCGACCTTGCCATCAGCACCATTAACGAGCTTCTTCAGGAGAAGTACGATGAAACTGATCAACGGTATACCGAAAGGCAACGAATACTAGACGCATCCTCCAATTTCGGAGTAACCACAAACGCAGTTGTGTCAGAGCTCTTTTCCAACGAGTTCAAACACACTGTAATGACAACGACGGGAGGAAGGAGGAAGTGAAGTACCTACATTCCCTATTCACAGCCAATGGTTACCCACGATCCTTCATACGTGAGTGCCGAAGAGGATTTAACCGCGAACAATCTAACGATGAGAAGCCGAAGTTCTGGCTCGCAATCCCCTACATGAGGAATGTTTCTGAGGCGACAGCAAGAATCCTGAGCCCTTTTGGGATTGGGGTGGCCCATAAACCGGAATCCACTATCAGGCAGCAGATAATGAGGCCCAAAGACCAGCTACCTGCAACGGAACAATCAGCAGTGGTCTACAGCATACCTTGCCAAGATTTCGGTGCAAGGTATGTTGGTGAAACGGGCAAACGCCTCTGCACAAGATTGCACGAGCACCAGCTTGCAGTCAACCGCGAGGATAAGCTGACACTGATATATGGCCACATACAACAGGAGAAGCACAGTTTCGCCTTTGAGGAGGCAAGCGTCATCGGCCGAGCCGGCGACAAGATGGCCAGACTGATTCTCGAAAGTTGGTCCTCAGTTGACACAATCAACAGCGCCATTGATCTTCATCCGGCCAACCAGGCGCTTCGTAAAAGGCTCCAGTCAGTTCGGACGGGGCCGACAGCACTGGCGAACAAATCGCGGCTCTATCAACAGTTGTCACCTTCCCAGCAGGGGGAGAGAGCCAGCCGGGTGTCAGACGACCGACGCGAGACATCGACCCACAGACGAGCCCAAACAGCCGACCCCGATTCCCACATGCAACGGCAACTGATCAGCCCGTCAAATTATGGGGGGAGGGCCCAAGGGCACACGGACCTAGCAGAGACATCAGCGACCGGGCAGGTGGCAAAGGTCACACCAGCGCCCCAGCGGTCGGCCACGGAGAGACCAAAGCCAATCGCCCACCAGCAAGCAGGTCAGAGTTCGTGTATCAGGCATGCCTATAACACGAGACAGGCGGCGAGGCAGAACAACTCTGAGCTAGCATGGAGCAAACACCCTACCACTACTCTGATGATGGAAACGAGGAAGTTTCCGAAACGTCAGCACCAATACAGTGTGGTCCATGGCATCGCCTATTTTTCTTCTTCGTCTTCTTTTGGGGATGATAAACGGGATAATCTATCTGGACCTTGAATCTTCACTCGTGTTGAAATATATTTATAATCATATATATATATATATATTAACTTATAAATATATAAGTATATACATATGCCTGCATCAAACAAACAAAAGAAGACCGTTAGACTCAGGAATTTTTAATAGAAGGAAGGGAAAGTAGATTCTAGTGACGAGGGATTTATTCATCGGACGCTTTGTGCTCACACACTAGCACATAGTCAAGGAAAAAAGGCACTGTACATGACATATTTAAACACACTCCTCCTAAAACCACTCTCAGCTACGTTGTGCGTTTGTACTTACAGAGCCCGATAAGAGCCTAACAGATTAATATGCCTGTCTATCGAGTCCACAGCCGATTGCCACGCCTCCTACAGCAGACGAGAAATTCGGTCATTCGACTGACGCAAGATTCACATGCACTCGAAATGGCACTTGTGCTCTGGTGAGAATTCGTAAACAGCCGTCAAGACAAATTCTTCCTTCGGTCCCCCCAGCAGGCCCATGTTCATATAACACTGTGTGGGCCTGTTTACCGTTTTAAGCATCACAAATTACATAGGTACAGTTGCATTCTATTCGGTTATTAACACCAGATTGCTGATTAATGGGTATTGGGTACTTCGGATGCATGATATGCCGGCTAATTTTTGATCCCGTTCTGTGGGCTTCTCTAATGTCACATTCGCTTATCAACCAGATGAAGTCCTCCGGCACACCGGCAGTATAAGACACGGCATAAGGCAAATGTCAAACTTAAAATTCTGCTGCAATCATAGAGAAACGCTCCTCAGAATAAGCATCTAAATGAGGATAATCGGCAGAGCCGGAATGCTGGACAATTTTCTAAGACGAAAATTATTTCAAAAACCCTGACTGGTAAAGCAGTCGGGACAACAGCTTCCATTACGATAGCCTTGCAAGTGCCGGATGAAAAAGCTTGATTGCGGAAAAATTAGGCCCCATAATTTGTAATTAATTCCAGCTTTGGAACTTTCCTCTTTTGACCCACCCCCACACAAGCAGGATCAACAACAGCTTCGAAAAAATGCATACACATGATGACGTGATTCGTGGGTGGTACCGCTTTCGTCAAGCGGTACAGTGCACTGTGTTTACCTTAGAAGGAGACTAGTAGGCTTGGCTGCGCAATCTATTAATAAGTCATCCCAAAATAGATCAGAAATCCCTGCTATAATTTCAAACTTACCACGCTGCCAGGCTCGTCGGCCACTTGAGCGTTTACATGCAAATTAAGCGGACTCCTTTACTGCAGTCGTGTTCTAAGTCAAATATGGAATATACCTGTGAATTTTAAACTCCTCATACTTCAAATATTTAATAGCTCGATTTTTGGATGTGCGTTGGAGATTCTCGTTGCGCTGTACGAATATATTTTAAGCACCATCACACTTGAATGTTTGGTATTTTATTTTGAAATTGCAATTACACTGCTACAAAGTATTCTGTTGAATAAGTGGCTTAATTTTACCTGACTACCATGCTTTCGACTTCCTATTGTAGTGGCTCTGGACTATGACATATAATTCAGTCGGTTGATGGGCTGTTCAAATATAATAGATTGGAAAGCTCTTAACATATTTTCAACTTTGTGAAATATCCGGCATGACTAATAACCGTACCTGTATGAAGAAAAAAATGTAGAATTGATAGAGGACTCCGATTAAATGGATGATAGGGAAAGATGCAAAAGTAACGGGGAATATCGTAAAGAGTATATTTGATGGAAAACCGTTATTGCCGTAATTATTCTGAGCTGTAGTCTATTATTTCAATCGTGATTGTGAGCGTGGGGAAGAAGGAAAAAGAGAAGAGTAAAAGAACTTGCATAAACCCTTAAAAATCAATTTAGTTTTCTGAAATCCACAAGCCACCCTTTCTTCTCTACCATGTTATATATAAAATGCATGTCAGCCTGTCGACTATCGGCGTATTTGAAAACCTTACCAGAATGGAGCGCATCCTGTCTCCGCAAAAACGTTTCCGTCTTGCAGGTCTTGAGATGCATGAGATCGGATGATATTTATAAGGATTGAATTTCTGCTTGAGCAGTCAAAGGACTAAAAGTTGTTGTAGATCCACATTTCCAGGCGCCCTCTAATGAATAAAACATGATATAGGCGAAAAACAAAATTTCATGCTTTCCATTTTACATTTATGGGAGTTAGATACATTTTGTTATATATGCTTTAACTACGGCATTTTTGAAGACGGTTGAACCTGAAAGCGTTCTAGAGCGTTGGTTTTTATTGTCAGGTTGGACTTTTTAATCTACACGGACACATCCGTCTTGGCATCAAAGACGGTTTAAGTGCTCATGAAGACTGATTAGGGTGGGCAACTGCCGTCACGTGTTTCGGACTAGACAGTTGAATTTTCGGGGTTGATAGTGCGCGCTGCAGTTTGCCAATTGCTGTTGCGGGCCTACCTCGGCTTCGGTGTCCCTCCTGGGAGGGTAACTAATGTCAGGGGGTTGGCGCAGAGCGACACCGATGCGACGGGTGTTAAGAAGATGCATTTTAGCTTAGCGTGATTACTCTCCTCCATGTTTGCGTAGTTGCTATCTGTAGTTTTTTAATTTCCTCAGAAATTAACTGCAAACTTGCAGTAGATCAGTATCTATAAGGTCTATAGGACCAGAGCTAAGAATTGTATGTGGATATCTGGGCTGAAGCGCATCAGCCACGGCAGATAACCGCGCAATATTCATTAACTGCCGACGGGCAGCTATTAGCATGCTTTGGGGTATGGTGATACCATACTTACAGCACAGGTACTAGCCAGAAGCAGACACAATGTGCTGGGTGACCTACTGACGAGCCGAACCCCTCACAGCTGTGTCCTGCAGCGGCAGAATATCGGCGAAACATGCGTGCATGGGCTTTTGACTAGTATCTGTTCTGTTAGTATGGAATCACCTTTCCTTAAAGAGTTGCCAGTCCTCATTTCCGGCCCTGTGATTTAGCACTCCACTGGTATTTCGCTTGCGATTTTAGAGTAATGTGGTAACGAGGTGCCATCTGCGTTCGAAAAGGCAGATCAGTCAAACTGTGACTCCTGCGGTCCGTTCCTCAAGTGCTCACGAATAACGGAGCACAAACGGGCGGTCTGGAGAGGCGACCCGTTGTCTCAGGTCGCCACTCACACCCTGGAGGAAGGCCACGAATTCAACTTTGTGAGCACGCGGATAGTGGCGCGGGCCAGCAAAAAGACAGGACGAGAACTGTTAGAGGCCTGGGTGTCTGACACCAACGCTATCAACAGGCACGTTGACATACCCCCCCTGCTATCACGCGCTCCGTTCCCGCGGCCAAGATGCGAGACCCAATTTCCATCCAAGGGTGCACGCAGTCACGCCAACGTGAGACGGCGTGGGACGCAACTTTTCGCGAATACCACCCTCTGCACTCATATCTCTCCTCCCCCCCTCATGGCGTGACTACAAAAACCACTCATTCGATGTTGCCTTCTCACAGCCTCTGACGATGGCCTCCTGTACGAGACCGAAAG